TAGTAGCTGGGATTACAGGTGTGTGCCACTATGCCTGGCTAATTTTTTGTATTTTTAGTAGAGACAGGGTGTTGGTCAGGTTGGTCTCGAAGTCCTGACCTCACGTGATCCACCTGCCTTAGCCTCCCAAAGTGCTGGGATTACAGGCATGAGCCACCGTGCCTGGTCACAGAGAGAGTATTTCTTTCTAATTCATCTGGATATTAAAAACAATTTTTATTTGCATGAAAATCATTACTTAGAGACAAAGAGACAGTCCTAGATACTTGGTGGCAACTTCTCAGATGAAAGTTTTTTTTTTTCTTTCTAAAGTTCTCTGCTGTTTCTTGTATATAGGAAAGGAAATCATAGTAATTATAGACCATCAGATTCAAGTTAAAAGTTGCTGAAACCTGTGGTTGTTTTTTTCTAATAAAATATTTCTTGTTAGCTGATTAATCTGCTTGAAGATTTTCTTTTCTTTTGGGTATTTAGATGTCATGATTTATTATGTTATCTTTATGAAGTAATTGTATCTTTGGCTCAAGCCTGTGCACTTTGGGAGGCCGAGACGGGCGGATCACGAGGTCAGGAGATCGAGACCATCCTGGCTAACCCGGTGAAACCCCGTCTCTACTAAAAAATACAAAAAACTAGCCGGGCGAGGTGGCGGCGCCTGTAGTCCCAGCTACTCGGGAGGCTGAGGCAGGAGAATGGCGTGAACCCGGGAGGCGGAGCTTTCAGTGAGCTGAGATCCGGCCACTGCACTCCAGCCTGGGCGACAGAGCGAGACTCCGTCTCAAAAAAATAAATAAATAAATAAATAAATAAATAAATAATCCCATTAAAACGGCTTGGGAACTTCGCAAGAGAAGCCAGTTTTAAAAATTGAGGTGCCATGTTTTCCCACAGGGATATACTGCTCGCCTTTTGGAGGTCAGTATAAACAAGATCAACCGTAACTATGCACTGAGAAGTGTTTTTTGGTATTAGAATGTAGACTAATTGAAGCATCAATGGCACTTTTAAAATTCTTATGCTTTTCACATCCTATAAAGATTATTAAAGACTTCAAGGGTTGTGTATTTGAAATCCAAAGCATAAACACTGAATTTTTAATCTATAAGTTTGTGCACAAAAAGCAGTCAGATATTTAGGGCCATTATGATGATGAGCTGCATCTTGTTCTGTCATCTGAATGCTTGTCATTTTGTAGACGGGGGATAAACAGTGGTCTCTTCATGTTGATGAATGTTTTCCATACTTACTAAAACTAAGTTTTCTTTTTTTTTTTTTTTCTAAGAATAAGTCAATGAGTAGACAGACAAGTTGCTTTTTATTATTTTTATGTCTCTTTTCAAGTTCACTCTTCTTATAGAATGCATTGTATTATTCATAAAGTTAATGCGATTGGCTGCTATTTCACATTCTTACAGCCAATTTGTGCAGACTTCACTCTTTTGGTGAGATCATCATGATTGTACGTCTCAGGTTGGGCTTTTGATCTTTGTAAAGAAGTTTGCTTTCCTTCATCCTGGGAACACAGATGATGCTCATATTCTCCATACAGTTATTTTATAAATGCATGTCTTTGATCTTATGGGAGGAGGTCATAAATTCCTTATCTATAGTAAAACTCAACCAATTAAAAATATCCTGGCAGCAGCGGATCAGAATCGTGTTTTAATAAAGGATGGCAGCATGATAGGGTGAAAATACACTAACTAGTTACTAATTTTCTTTGGAAGTCCTGTATAAAATTGATGGTTTAAATTTCTAAGGTCTACTTTTTGTTTAACTTATCTAGCAAAGTGATTCCAAATGCAATTTTATTGCAAAATTATTTCAAATTTGAGTAGTATATTAAAATCTCATCATTGCAATTTATGTTTGGAGTCTTGGAGGGCTAGTAAAAACTGGATAGTAGAATACCATAAGAAATCCATTTTTTTTTTTCAAGTATGTCTAGCAACTCAATGGCAGACTGTTTCTAAGTAGGAAGCCTAGCTTGTCTGGCTTAATGAATTGTAGTACTTAAGAAAGGCCTCCCATACTTTTAGTGTTTGTTTACAAATGCTATTTTGTTAAGCAAGTCAGATATGAATCATCCACTAATCTTGTTTATGAAATTAATATATTCCGTAAAATTCTTTGATTAACAGTAGTTTCCAAACACAACCTATGTGTTAGTGGGATCTAAATCTATGTGATATTATGATAGTTTGAACTCTGTTTTGATTTTTACTTAGCAAAATGGTCAACTCACAGTTAAGTATGACCTCTTTGATTTTCCTAAGCTTTTTCTTGTTCAGTGTCAGATCGAAGACTTGAGATGAGTGGGTGGAAAAGTTGCACATTCTTATGAAATAAAAAGGACAGCCACAATTTTATACATATGTGTATTTACATGTATGACATATATGCATATGTGTGTGCACATATGTGTGTATATATGTGTGTGTGAAAGGGAGGGGGGAGAGAGGAATGAGGTCCACATAATTTAATTTGATTACTAGTAAATTTGTACGATTAATTCAAATATTTAGACAAATTTGCCTTTAATAGGAAAATCACCAAAAAGGCAAGGCAAGTAGTTGCATAAGTTTTGCTTTTTTCTGAAATTTCCTGCATTCCCTTAGAGAAAAAAGGATTTCACATTATCTATCAAGTAACTAATTTACATATTTGATCTCAGGTATTTTGATTTCAATGTGTGTAGCAGTTCAGGAATAAAAATGTTGTATTTCTTATATTATTTGTGTGTTTATGATTGAGCCTTATGATCTTTTGGTTTAGTTAGGAATTTGCCTTCCCCATCCCTCCTATTAAAACTTGATTTTTGGAAAGTATAGATAGAAGAGCTGTGCTTTTCTTTTAAAATGCTAATAAAATTCAAAAGCAACTTGAATACATTTTATGATACAAATTTTACATATATTTAAAACCAGGACTACAAAATATAAATGTATAAAAAATGGTTGGGATTCTTTCTCTGTGGAATGAGTATATATTATATACATACAGCCCTATGAGTATAAATAGGTTACTGTTTCTCCTAAAGTGCCTACGTTCATGATGAATTCCGATCCTTATTACAGAATCATGAGCTAGAAATCAAAATACACCAATAGATATAGGTAAACGCTGGTAAAATTCTGACTTAGAAAATAATCAAAGCTTAAAGCTTATCATTCTGATTTGGAGCAAGAAATATGTAAATTATGAAATCATGAGCAGCTTCTGAGCACACCCCCTTTATGTTACCTGCAAAGACCTGAGTCAGAAGCCTGCATTTCAAAATGCTTATTTTTTATTTTTATTTTTTACAGTGTGGATGAATGGCCACGAATAATACAAATTGGCTTTACTTTCCAAGTTTATTATCCTTCAACATTCGTTGGCGGGTTAGCGACATCATTTATTATATAATGAGGTAACCCCCAAATGAAACCTCCAAACATCTTCTCTTTCTGGTCATCATAGGCTGCCATTCTTCCCCTAGAAATTAATACATCTGTATGCGGGATTGTGCCTTTTCATCCCCTGCTGCAGAGTCAGCGGTCATAAGAGCTTTTGTGTTCATGAATATGTAAATGCAACATGCATAAAATAAAAAAGCAGACAGTTTCTACCACAGACCGTGCCTAACTCTGCTGAACTAATACACAAAAAGCTAAGATTTAATTTTTCAAGCATTTTGAGTCAATGTTTCAAGGCATGACATAATTATGTAATATGAAAATACATAAATTAGGCATATGCAGATGTGCATGACAGTTAGACTCTAAATAAATCGGCTTGAGCTTGTAGTCATGGCTATAATGATTCGTGCAGATTCACTTACTCCTTCACTCTGATGCCTGGTAATAGGGGGGAAATGCCTTAGGTCTTTAATGACCTTGTATGTAGTGACTAGATTCTACTCCCATACTTCACTCCAATAAATGACGAAGAAATGTTTAAATAATATGTATTATTTGTATATGTATGTACGTGTGTGTATATATATATATTATACACACACATGCTTTTTTTCTTTTGAAGGGGAAAAGCGATGGCTATATTCCACTGAAGTATTCTGGAGGAAGCTGTGGGAAGAAAATTGGCGGATTTTATTATTGAAATAAGCAAGCATTTCCATGCATATTTTTACGGCATGCATGGCTATGCACCACTCTGTGCAAACAGTGCTATTGCAGCTTGGGCGCGGTAATTAGGTTGATGTAATTATGGTGAAATAAAGGCAGTCGCACTGATAATTTCGCAGTGAATATTAAAGACATATGTGCCTTCCAGTGTACAATAAATGAACCTGAACTGCTGTCAGGGTCTAGGAAGACAGTGTGGCCAATGCACCTATTGTGTCCCGGCTGCAGAAAGGAGCCTGCCGATTGGCCACTGTCTGCAGCACATAGCACTGGCTGGTTATAAAGGACTTGTCTAGGGGAGAGCCTGTAGGTACTCCATTGTCTGGTAAAGTTCATATGACTGCATTCTTTTTTGCAAGGCGGGTGGAGGGAGAGCGGGGAAGGAGGGGGTGTCAGCTCAACTGTAAAAGCTGCACAGATTTTTTTCTTTCTCTCTCTCTGCCTCTCCATAGATCGTTTCTGTTTCATGCCCTGTCTCATTTCGCATAGCTAAAAAAGAATGCTAATTAAGATCCCTTGTCTTAACCTGAAAAATAATGACTCGGCTGTAATTAGAAATCCGGTGAGAGTTTAAAATTCTGGTAGGGGACCAAAAACATCAGTTACGGTGCTTAGGAAGAAAATGAAGAATTATTTTTCTGTAATCAAGGTAAACATGGGAGAGGGGGGTTCCCCCCGTCTTTTTAACCAATTTTAACCAATGGTGTTCTACTGCAGATGAGAAGATACTGTATTTCAAAAACTATTTTAACCATCAAATTGAAGCAACACAAATCAGTAGCAATAGAAGCCTTCTTAATCCTCCTTAGGATGCAATTCAGATGAAAGAACTGCTTTTTTTTTCCTATTTTTCTTTTTGTATGTGTGTTATAGATGGATCTGAGAACGCTGTCTGGGCTTGGTGCCAAGGGCTGGTATTTCACAGCAGCGACCGCCTCACAGACGAGCTGTGGGAAGCAGGAGGGAGACTCTCTCTTAGGGTGCCACTACTATGGAGACACAGCTGGGCTGAACAAGATTTGCTTCAAACGACAACAAGAGAGACAGAAAGTATCTGGTTCAACCGCTGCCCGAGCAGGCAGGCACCAGAAGAGCTAGCAGCCAATCCGGCCATGCTCGAAGCCAGCTCTGCAGCTCAGCCAATCAGTGACATCACTGGTGAGAAACTCATTTACATCATGCAGTAATGAACTTTGTTTAACATAGCCTTCCCCCTTTCCTGTCACCCCCCCTTTCCATATTAGGTCCTTCCATTAATTATTCTGCTGGCATAATTTAAACCGCTATGCAAAAATGTGGCTACATTCTGTCCGATGGCTTTTACTTTTTTTTTTTTTTTTACCCCATTGGTGTCTGCCGTCACTGAAAGTGATTCTGGTTACAATTCTATTTTGTTTTGAATTTGCAAAAATTATCTTCTCTTTCTTAAAAAAAAAAAATTCTTAACAACATCAAACCTCTGTTTATATTGTCTGATCCCTCTTCTTATGAATGAATACATGCTTCTCCAAGTTGGGGTTCAGAATTGTACAAGGTAACAGAGAATAAGGGGTGCATTGCCATGGAAGTTGCAGGTTTTTCAAACAATCTGTGTCTTAGAACATCCTTTAACGTTTCCAGATTTTATGCTGCAGTGGCCATTTTACATACAGTGCTTTATCCAAAAAGCACTTATGTGCATCTGTCACATGGAGGAAAGTTCACTCTTGTTATATTTCATTCTCCACTGCTCTCGGCCAACATTGTCATTTTATTAATGAATAGAACTGAGGTCATTTCTGGACAAATCTCCCCCTTCCCACCCCAGCACAATGCACCTGATTTGCATCCATTTACTAGAAAAACTGAATACAAGAACCAGCTTGAAAAGAAGTTAAGGGACCAGCTTACATATTATTTCAGAATTTATTGCCGTTATACAGTTTGTTTTTTAAAATGTATAATATTTAACATTTGCCTTAGTGTTTCTATAAAAATGCCTGGTCTCCATTCGCAATGTAATGCCTTTAGCAAATTTATGGGATTGTTACATAACCAAAGTAGATCAAATGAAATAATGTTCACAAACGAGTTCATTTGTCTGCAGAAAACCTTTGGAAATACAATTTTGCGTTGCACATTTATATTTAGCTGTCAGGGATAAATTCATTTGTTCTATAGATAACTTAAAGAGGCTGGAACATGTGGCATGTGAAGATTTCAGGTTGCTTTATAAAATCCCAGAGAGCAAAACTGGGTCACACTTCAATGCAATTTCTATTAAGTCATATCTTTATTGCATATTTGCGTTAAAGGCACACTGTTTTCTAGCAGAGAAGGTGAAGTTTCGTTGTCTTTCTTTTAAAAGGATGTTTTGAATATAATTATTCAAAAACATGGAATTTAAAAAATATTGACAAGGGTTTCATAATAGTGCATGATTCGTTTAAGAAGCTTAGAGAGTGCAATGATAGGCATAGTCACTTTTTAAAACATATGAAGGATTTAGATGGGAAACCATGGCCCTTTTAATTCATGAGGCATTCCATCATCCCATCATCAGTATTCAGGGGGCGACTGTCCCGAATCAGTCACGAGCTCCCCTGCTGCAGATCCTGTAATTTGAATCATGTGTAATAATATATTATCCTACTGGGGGCCTTCTTTCAGTAGGAGAATGGTTTATACATTCTGCTATAAGAGAACTTTTGGCTTCTAGCCGACTCACAGCCATTACTCACATAGGCAATCACGATCGTCTTCCTTAAGGAATAACATCTGCACAACCTCCAGAGCCAAAAATCTGCAACCTCCCGCACAGTGTGAATTATGATTTCTTGGAATTGGGATCACTTGACAAACTGAAGTAGAAAAATGGAAGGTTTAAAGGAATGGATCAACATTTTATTGAGTGTGCCATGTGGCGAGAGCGCAAATTCCCATTCCTTTGAAATGATGGAGAATGGTGAGGAAAGGAGGCCAAAAATATACCTACATGTGTTCATTTGATTTTTAGACACAGCCGAAATGTAATGTGTTTTATGAAGATGTGGCTGCCTCTGTGTTTTTCTGTGGACATCCTAGCAAGGTCCTGTAAAGGGCGCAGCAACGTGGAGAAATAAACGGGGGGCGAAGGTGACTGTGAAAGCAGAGAAATTGTGTCACCTCGAGAAGGAAGCAATGTAATATCACAGGAACCGTTCTGACCCCGGAGTTAAAAATTATAGTGTGCCTCTGATGCTTTCTCTTGTTATCACCTTGATCAGGTCACTTAATTTCTTTCCATTTTTCTCCTACATTCAAAAATTAAAGACAATGCCAGCATAGAGATTTTCTCTTTGTGTGAAATGCCTTCCCACTTTTTAAGAGTCTAGATCCTTTTTTGCTTCAAGGACCAGGTTAAATGTCTCCTCTTCTGTGAAATCTTTCCGAATCACCATGACCAGAATCTCTCACTTCTCCACCCCTTTTCACCCATTTTATTGCCTGTATGCCAGTCAGTATTGCTGTGGGGCCACATGTGTATATATCTTTGCCAGTAGACTGAAAGCCCCTTGGGGACAGAGACCACATTGAATTCTTCCACCCCCAGCTCTAAGAATAATGAATGATGCTCCTAAGGTTTAAATCCATGTTTTAATTAATGAATTATAAGTACGTTACAGATTGCAGAGGGAGGGTCATACAAATTTCAGGGTTACGATTATTGTTGTCAACTATTACCACTATGTACCAGTTGATGTCAGCTTTACCTCATCAATGTTAAGCCTTTTATTTCACTGGCCCTTCATAATAAAGCTCAGATTAAATGGTCTCTGTATTATTTTTCTTAAATAGCCAGTCGTAAGGAAAATGCAAATCATTTTGCTTATTAAATATAAAATTAAGCCAACTTAGTTGGTGTTTAAAAACTTAAAAATAGGTGAAATTTATGTAGATTCAAGCAACCATGATAAGCAAATTACAATATCCAGCTCTACTGTTAATGATACGAAAAATTACTTGGAAAAGGTAAGCAATCAACATGGAATGTTGAAATGCTTTACAAAGCATAATAAATCAGGAAATATAGAATCCTATGTCAGTGTTATCATTAATGTATATATTTAAATCTGTAAACTAGTACAATAATCTTGAGTGATTTCTAGATGTTTTTGATATAATCTGATAACATAATGCTGAAACATGATTGATTTTATGTTAGTTATCTCTTTAAGTTTATACTTTTGGTTATTGTACTACTGCTAAGGGGAAATTAATGTTTTGGCAAACAATGATATTTTTGTTAATGTTTGAAATTGTTTTTATATTTAAAAATATATTTTAAAATATTTTCCGCTACATTTTATGAGAAGAGAATGAAATAATTAGAAAACATATATATCTTTACTTTTATATCTGGAAAAATAGAAATTTCAGAGCTTGAAATCATCTGAAGTCTTTATTTTGTAAAAGTATTAGAGAGGAAAATATCTTGCTCAAAAGTGCGTACTTTCAAGTTCCCGGGACAGCTGAGACTGGTATCAAGAATTCAGAAAGACTGGGTCAGTATTTTTTTACTCTACCAAATAATCTTCATGTTAAAAACTAGCAAGATAGGATTATACAATTTTATAGTACTAACATAAATTAAATTACACTCACTTATGTAATCCAATACTGTATGTAAAATTCATATATCATAGGGAAAAAAGGGAGACTGGACATTATTGAGCTGTATTTTTCCACTATCCTACAATAATGCTATTGGTTCCAATAAATAATCATTTGTATTAGTATTCTTTAAAAATAATTATGGTTATGATGAAGTAGAAATGGAAATGATATCTGGGTTCACTTTGCTAGCTTTGAATTCGGCCAACACAGATATTGTATCTTAATGGCAGGATTGGTTAAATAGATTTGGGTGGGTCAGTTTGAACATTTTTAACCAATGAATTATACTGTTATTCTTAATCTTTTTTATTCTGCTTAAGTCTCCAGTTACCCAAAGATGAGATATTTGCATTTAGCCAATTATTTAAAAATATAATTCTGGACCTTATAAATACTGAGAGATGAATTGTACCCACTTAGAAACGAATGTTTCTCAAAGACAATAAAAAGAGTAGGACTCTGCTCAGCATCTTCTATTTAGAAAATTCCAGTTAAGAGTTCAGAGAGTGACTGAGAAAATGCAAAGCATCTTAAAGAAAATGTTACTTCACATCATAATTTGAGACGTGGTAACTAACATCCATTTGCATTTGAATACTATTTTATTTTTCTAAATTTATTAAAGTAACGATAAACAAGATAGAAATAATGAAACACCCCCTCCCATACTGGTACTTATTGATATCATAATTGCATGATCCTTATTCCAAAATGATTGAATTAGGAAAGTGGGAGTAAATATTAGGGCCTAGGCTTATACAGCAAAACTAGTAAGTTTGTGATTAAGAATTGTTTATTTGTAAGATGGCAAAGAAATAGATAAAACTGGCCTAAAACATTTGCATATTCTGCCTTTTTTTCCTGCTTAGCCCTTACAACATGATTTAAAAGCAGTATCAGTATATTTAGGTGTTTACTGAGGATTTCCATGAACTGAAGATAACACATCTTGTTATTAATCAGTGAGGTCGCTCTGTAACTGGTTGCTGAACCAAGAGGAGGAACAAAAGGCTATGAGTTAATGGTTAATATTTGCTGGGGCCTAATATTTGCGCTATATGCCATATGATACGCTATGTACTATGCACACGTTCTTTCATTCAATTCTCAAATCAATCCTTTGGTGTTATTACTATCCTCATTTTACAAAAATGAGAAAATTGAGTTTCAAAACGGCGAAGCCACTCCTCAAAGTCACATGACTAGCAAGCAGCAAAAGAGGGATTTGAACGAAGGATTCTGACTTGAGAGCATGCATTCCTAATCACTCCAAACTGAAGAATCAGTACCTGTGATTTTGCTGTTTGCTGTAGAAACAGATTTTTTATATATATTGCATTCGTAAATGGTGTATCTGGTTCAGTTTTTTAAATGTTCACATATACTTTTATCTTAGTATTTTATAGCTCAGTTTGAAAGCTATTGACTTTGCAATAATATCTACATTAATATTTTCTTTATATTTTGGTATTTCTGCACCCAACCAGATCATTTAGGTAATACATACCAAAACAATTTCTGAACAGTGACATACCAGATAAATGTAAGATCATGTTACTACTAAATGTCTTTGTAAGTCTGAATTACTAAAAATAAGTATTAGACTAAATGTTTCCATTTCCTCTTTTTCCTAGATATTTTACTTATTAAATATATCACCTATTTTATGAGAAAATTAATTCTTATTAATTTGACAGTTGCAGAATGTCACTTTGGCTCATTTAGACCCTGACTATCCAGACATTTAAGGTAGTTCAGTTTCTCACTCTTGGTTACACATCTTGTATCTACAACCCACGGCAATCCACAGGACGTTAAAAGAATCTTACAGTTACTGAATATATAGTAATACGTTTTATGCCTAATGCTAGATATTCTAGTTTTTATCTATAGTGGTCAAGACTAGAGGGCATAGCTGAAAGTTGTTGACTTTCAGAGAATCAGCTTAATGTGGGAAAAGGAGAGGAGAAAACAGAATTGTGTAGTTTCTTACCTTCCTGATGAAACATTGTCCAGTTTTTTTTTCTCAATTTTTTATTTCTTTCTCGAACAATGTTGTGCACTTACCATATGCCAGAAACTGTGCAGGCAATAAAATGAGCCTCTTGTGAGCTCCAACTTCAACATTGTTATTAATGTTCGTAATGAAAACACTATGTCAATATATGTTCATGTATAATTGAAGTGTTTAGTTTGGTTACATAATTTATGGTACCCTCTTTTCAAAAAAGCCAGAAAAGCAAAAGTTTTGACCGCTATGATTCTCATTTGAATGAAACTCCACTCCACGGCACTCCACTGTGTCTGTGCCTCTTCTATGATCCTGATACCTAGAACTTAATGCAGTGCTCCTTGGAAGGTTTAAGGAATGCAGGGTGAAGGAGGACTGTCGTCTCTGTGTCTGGGGGCCCCTAGGCCCATGGATGTGGTGTAAAGACCTCAATAGCAGGTTTAAGGATCATATTCTGATTTGCCTGTGCCTTACACTAATCTCTGGTACAGTTAGAATTTGATATTATTTTTTTCTCCCAAGATTCCTTGATATTCTCATTACTAATAATTACCTTTGTGGGAAAGATTCAAAGTTAACATAGCAGTTCCTTTCATTGCTTATGAACTTACTGGGAAAGCACTTCAAGTATAGTACTTAAGTACCGGTAAAGTACTTAAAGCATTTATTTTCAGAATGTTAATTTTTACACAGTGAAAACTAGAGATAATAGTGTCAATGACTACTTAGTGATCACTTAACTCCATGAGGCCCTATGAGAAGTGGTTAGGAGCATAACATCTCTGGATAAATGCCTGATTCTGATTCTGAACTTCATGACTGAGTAGATATATAACCTTGGACAAGTTGCATAACTTCCTTGGGCCCCAGTTTTCTCATCTGTGCAGTAGTACCTACCTTAAAAGACTGTGAGGATTCTAGTGCATTTTTGCAAAGGATGGCGTTATAAAGATGTGTAAATTCATGTTCTTTGCTCTTCAAAGTATAGAATGTAGTTAGAGAGTATGTGTTTGTATACATTTAAATAAATATTAATACAGTGTAAAGTGCTATACCAGAGAGGTATTTATGCTTGCATAAATACTTTTAAAGTTTAATTTTACTCCACCTCTTTAACCAGGTTTTTCTTTTATTTGAACAAGTTGTCAACCATTGTTATAATCATCAGTTTTATCCCATCAAATATTGGTTTCATTTAAAAAGTTGTTTAAAAAGATTGTTATTTTAATAATATCTATGTAAGTTTATAATTTCAGGCAACTAATAATATTCAATTCATTGATTCTACTTTTTCCTTCATTGCTTGGTGCATATATCAGAAAATACAAATGTCCTAAGTCACATGTAAAAATGCACGAAACCATTTATTCTGATTTTTGCAAAGCTCCATGGTAGAGCTAATATTTTAGACCATGATACCCTAGAATGATCAGAGGTTAGGTTCCTAGTTAGTGGCATTCTGTAAAGACAATTAATCCACAGTGCAAGTGTCTAATGTTCAAGAATCAGATACTTGATACACATAGATTTTCCTTTAACAATATCCATTGTACTCAGGAAGAAAATAATAGACTCTAATTAGAAGACCTGACCTAAAACCCTTTGTAAGTGCTCAAGCCTCAGTTTTCTTATTATGAAATGGGGATAGTAATGACTTACTGGAAAGATGATTGTATGGGCTAAATAAGAGGACCTGTGGAGTACTGTTAGGTTTTCTCTTCTGTAGGTTTTGTGAAGTCTGTTCAAGTGTGTGTTTCAAAGTCAGTGAGAACAACAGGACTTCAATAAAATGCAAGCTTCTGAGGAGACAAACTCTAGTATGATGTATTCTATAGAATAGAGAATGACAAGATTCTTTAAAAATATTTCTCATTAATACCCCTGTTCAAATGATTTCAGGGAATTGTGAATGCAAGTTAATTAAATCAGAATTCTTTCTCATCTTAACCTGGGAATGACTGAGACTAAAAATAGTTTCATTTTAAAAAGAGGTTCATGAGCTCTCTCCCTCTCTCCACGCCCATCTCTATCTCTGTCTTTCCCCACCTCTGAGAGAAACTGATGTATTTGGGTAGTGAAGAGCATCAGTAAGGGTTTCCAGTGATTGAGGCAGAGGGCTGTTCAAAGGCATGAAGATGTTTAGATTAATAGTAACGATGTAACTAATTTTCAGGTGTCTCATTAAGGTGAAAAATAATATACTAGAAATAGCATCATATTTGAACATCTATGTGCCAATTTTACGATGCTTTTACAATTTCATCTAATCTATTACAATTTGTTATTACTCCCTTCAAGTTCTATCCATGCTTTCTCATGGTGCTAATAATGAAGATGACGATCA